ACTTGTCCTAAAGCAGCAAATTAAGGCCCCCATGGATCAGGGGCACCCAACGAGGATATAGTTCAAAACCACTTAACATAGCATTGTTGAACGTATTTTAGTATTCAAACGGTAGATATAGGCATATTTTTATCCCCTAAAAACTTTTCATCTGTTCGGATTTCCTAGCTGAAAATCTAGTGATCCGAAAATTATAGGGATAAAAACTTACCTTCTCGAAAATTTCAGCCAGGAAAAGGCTCCCGAAAATTCTAGGTGGCCTTTTTTAGGGTCAAAATCCGTTAAAAATGAGTAATTATACCATTTTGTAGGTGTTCGAAAATCCTAGGAGAGGCAGGCAAGCAAGAAATTTTACAACAAATGCTCCGAAAACTCTAGATCTCAAATCGTCTTCCGAACAGATATTTTCCCGAAAATTGCCATTGGGTGCCCCTGATGGATCAAGCTTTAATTGCATTTCATTCCGCACTCTAAGATCGGACCCGTGAGACGGCGGAAATCAGTGACCCAGAATCAGGCTTGATCGGTGAGTAAATGTTGATAGAAAACTAATCATATGATCACATATGTAGCGAAACATAATAGTTTACTGACCTGCCTTGCGTTGCGCGATCTCAACTTCCTCAACTAACTTCGCCGTTGTATTGACATGAGGGTTGTTTGCGAGAGGATCTTCTTTGGTTCCGTATAACATTAACTTCAGGAAAAACACGTGGCCTGGACAATAGAAAGCATAACGGCATAGTAACTAACTATGGCAAAAGTTAAAGTTGTGCGAACAATTATTTTGCTAATATTAGTATACAACAGACATCGAACGGGTCAAAACGAAAACCTTTATTGTAGCCTGAGTAGCCGGCGGGCGGATTGTTAGCACAAGCAAAGTTTTGGCAGGGGAGTTGCGAAGCCGCGTGGGGAGGCCGGTTACTGTGCGAGTAGTGGTTTCTCCAGGCCGGAAGCTACGTTACGAAGGAGAGAAACCACTGCGATTGTCTGTTTGCTTCTTTGACTGAGCCGCCGTCCAACGCCATGGACGAAGAAATTAACTTTTGAACAGGTGCAACCTGTAAAAACAAGTTAAGGCTCTTGCTTAATCTGATAACTGCTGCCTTAAGGGGGCAGTATTTTTAAAAGCATTATTTTTCGTTGATTTCCACCCTTTTTCTAGATGGTGAAGATTTCATTCAATCAAAAAATAGAAAAATATTGGGAAAATGGAAAAATATTGGATTTGGGGGTTTTAAAAATTAAAATATGAAGTGAATAATTAGTAGACCTTTACCAGATAGTCCACCACCACAACAAGGTGCCTCTGATCCCATTAATAGCGGACTTACTCAGTGGTTTATGTGCATACCTTTCCTACCTTAATATATTTCCTTCCCAAATCAACAGCACGTTCAGAAAGAGAAATAAAATTTCGTCCTTTACCTTTTCTTAAAAAAAGCGAAATTTGGCATGCAGCTGCAGGTAGTCGTGCAAAAACGGCACGCCCCCCCCGGGAGTGTAATGCACGTGCAAAGTTCCTATTTTGCTTATTAAACCTATTGTTTCTAGACGTTCTCATTGTCGTTCCCGTGTTGGATCTTAAGGTCCCAAATGTTTCCCTCGAACAAGGGGAAAAAATGTCATTTGATGCTCAATGGAAAAGCAAAAGGTCGCTCGCAGTGGTTTCTCGACCTTCGAAGCGTAGCGTCTGGCCTAGGATGAACCACTGCACGTAGGCTAGAGGCCGGCAGATCCATTGTACAACTGTTAGTTGTTGAGTTGTTGCTAAAAGTCTAACAGGTGACCAAGCTTACGCTTTCTTGTTTGAAAGGGCTATTAGTGTCTTGTTTTGCTTTATATCGGAGCCCTATTGCTAAACGAAATTGGAGACCTATTCTTGGTTTGCAACAACGTAACAAGGCGGCCATGTTATGGATCAATGCAATGGAATATTTTCTCCAAAAATTTGCGTGAAAATAGAGTTTATTTCCCAGAGGAGAGAAATGCTTTTGTTCGTGACCACTAACACGGCCGCCGTGACGTCACGTGTAAACAAGCACAACACATGCACATGTAAGGCGATGCCAAATGTCACAATTACTACTTGCGTAAATTAACACTATCCTGTCAGTTATTTACACAACGGATAGGTGAATTCATAGGTAGAAACTTACGCAGCATATTCAAGTTTGTTTACCGAGAAGTGAAACGTTGTGTACTTTCCAGTTGGCTTTTTATGCTGCCACAACATGAATTACAGCCTCGATCAAGACTCTTTTTGTTGTTGGTTTGATGGTTTGTTGATTTACTTGAAGTTGAGGAAAGCGTCGCATTAACGGGTGGATTCATAGTAGGTGGCAGCGTTTCTGAAAGTTCGTGAAGGCTTTTACTGACCTAATTTACTTCCTTTGAGGACCTATTTCTCAGGTGGGCCCTTTTATCTATTGTTTTGCTATCTGTTTTTTTTATTTGTGATATCGGGCGTAATTATTTTCTGCAAACTTACGGTGCATGTTTTCAAGATTTGACTGAGACGTATACGTGTATATGGCCTCCTGTTATTAGGTATAAGCATGCTTAAATTTATAAACGTGTTTTTCTGGTTGCCAATGAAAAGAACACGTTCTAAAAATACTCACTTGCCGTCACAGCTTTCTAAGCGAAAGTCTTGCTTCTAGGTTGGCTCAGTTAATCTAATAAGCTAATCTTATTTTTAAATATTCGCATTCTATATTATTAAAATGCACCGAATTAGGATAAAAACAAGCCTTACGCTGCTCCTAAAGGAGTTTTTGGCAAATTCCAAGAACAAGCGCTTGGTTTGATCCTAATTTGGTGCATAGTTTTCAAAAGCACAAGAATCGCTCTCGCTGTCAAACGTGAGGTGTCAAACCAGAAAAAGGCATGTAAACATGCTGGCGGTCGGCACTAAGCATAATAATGTCCTGTGTGTGTATCGTGCATTTTTTAGTTTCTGTTGGGTCAAAACTTGTAAGTGTAAACACGAAATTCGTCTGGAACCAGTACTTGTTTTTAATACCTGAATTATCCACAACCAACCAGGCACAATGTTTCCACACTTAATACAGGCCAAGTTTCATCAAATTGCTCTCGCTCAATCAACTCTCGCTTTCTCCACTGACATAAATCATCACATGTAAACTTTCTACTTACCTGACTCAGTCGATTTTTTCACGATCCCGGAAAACAATTTTAACTAGGTCTCTGGCCTGGTAAGAAATCAGCATCAATTTTTGCTCTCGCCGAATAGATTTGACTCCTAAAAACTACTAGACACGAGTAGTTCCCCATTTTTCCTCAGGGATAGTAGAGCGTGCGAAACGCGAGCGCGCGTGAAAATCACCCCACGCGCGCAAAAGGCGACACGCGTGTCGATCAACGACATCATCAGGGATAAGAAATATTCCACATGGGGTTATATTGTATGACAAAAATTGGTGTAAATTAAAATGTGTGAAAATCGTAAGAATGTGGCAAAGTATAAAAAGTGTGAAAAACATATAACTTTGGACAAAACGCAACAGGATGCAACGATATAATGCACCAAGATCACAGCCAGGAGCAAAGAGTCTCTCGAAAGGCAGAAAAATAGGGTGAAATTTATTAGCCATCCTTGTCTAACTATCGCAATTCGCAAGGAACCATAATTCGCCTCGTAACGTATGCCGACTGGATACCCCTCGATTATCCTATAAATGGATTAGCTTTCGCTTTTTTGTCCCATGTGCAGCATTTAAATACGATGTACTCTAACTTTAAAATATTAAACATATACAGTGAAACCCTGCTTTAAGACACTTGCTTAAAACAAACACCTCATTATTACGGACAGTTTGCTATGTCCTTGGGACAAGGAAGTCCTTACACTTTTTCTAAATTCAATCCGCTTAATACGGACACCTCTTAATACGGACACTTCCTATGGCGCCCTTAATGTCCGTATTAACGCATGATCGCTTTGGTTGAATCCAAAACCGGGACAACAGGGCCATTTATACAAGGAAAAATAAGACGCGAACTGTACCATTTATACAAGCATGTCTTATCTAAGACGAAGACAACTCGTATAAATGGTTCGCGTCTTATTTCTGTTCTTTACTCTTTTTCATGTGAATGTTGCCTGTAGCGACGGCAATCCAACATGGCGCGCGTTTCAAAGTTACAGCGTCATGTTGCGATTTGCCGCAGAGGCAATATTTTGAAGGCCTTTTTAATGAAAATGGGGGAGTCTTCTATTATGACAAAAACCCTCATTTGCCGTGGAATTATGAAAAAGCAATGCTCTCTTGGAAAAGTTCAGAAGGAACCCGAGGAAAACGGGAAGAAGGAGATCGACGGAGTGGTTTGAGCGTTTCAGCGATGGACCACGTGTTTCGTTTTGCCTTTGTCGGCGTGCTCATTATACTTGAGCGAAGAAACAAATAAACTTAAAAGTCTTAGAATAGATGGCAATCCAAGGAAACGAACACGCGTTGTAATTTGTAAACAACTTTTCCCTACCAGTAGCCTGCCCGCCGCAGTGCAAGCGAAAATTTTTCCGCCAAGAATTAACGCATGTGACTATGCGTTCGCGTCTTATGTAAGACGCAAAGGTCCTTAATACGAAGTTTTTCTCGTCTTAGCTAAGTAACGTCTTATTTTAGACGAAATTTGCCGTTTATACGGAAAGTTAAGACGCGTCTTATGTAGGACGCGTCTTATTTTTCCTCGCATAAGTAGCCCCAACAAAATCTAACTCACTCCAGACTAATCAGCGTTCTCAAGCGAAATTTGGGACCATTCTTGTGTATATTGGACATGTGTGTTCTTGTAAAGTCAAATTCGTCTAAAGCTGCTTCTCATCATTTTTATCTGTTTGTGTTAACCCAAAGGGTAAACGTGAGCGATGGATTTAAATGGCAGCCAATTTTTTTAAAAATGTGGCTGCTTCCGTTACATGGTTGAGACCAGTAAAGCTTTTAACTTTCTTGAAGAAGTAAAAACAATGAACATAGTACATTACCATTCCTGTTGTTTCTCCTTGGCTTCGTGTTTCTTATTGTTATGGTCCAGTTTCCAATAGGGTTTTCTCCCCAGTAGTGCAAGCTTGTCACCGTCCAGTTTGAAAACCTTTTTTCACCAGTGAGGCTATCAAACGCTCGTGGGTAAAAAAGTGTTGACTGGGTTCTACTTGGTGATACTGAACTCATTCTCAGATACCCGCGGCGAGGAAAACTGAGATCGAACTGTACTTGCACGTGCTCTAAGAATCGGATACTGCAATTGTGTTCGCTCACAGACAAGGGGAGCTGAAATTGTCCCCTCCAGGGAATTTGTGGCCCAGCAGAGCTGAGAAAATAGAATGATATGATAATTGAGGAAAACAGATTTCACCCAAAGGAGTTTCGTGTAACGGTAAGACAAGCCAGTAATGATCTTGACTGCAGTCAACCGATTTTCATGAGGTTAAAGATTTGTGTGATTTTGAGTTGATATTGACAATTTCTCTCCGGTTTTTTTTTATCAAAAGTATTAATTATATTAGTCTTACCCATCAAAAGAAGGTCTACGACTTTCCTAAATATCTAGTGTCCCTAGAAATTTTTATTTTTAAGCAATACAACAATCTACCTTGAGATATCGAGGGCGACTTCACAATAAAGCTGCTGAGGGACAGAATTCCAATTCCTTGAGTATTGAACGATGGTGTAGGCATCCATCAGTCCAAATCCAAAGTGGCTGCTTACTGAAAGTCAGTCAGTAAAAATTCTTAAATTATATAGAGCACAAATACCAAAACTGGGATACTGGGCCACACATTATTATGCCCAAGACTCCTCCTAAATTAGCAGGGCTATACCTAGCCGTTCCTTTGAAAAATTTACTAGATACCTTTTTTAAAAATAAGATCCCAAATCAGCATTTAACTACAGACCTATTTATATACAAAAAACGTCGTAAGAAAAGGAAAAAATCTTCGAGCCTAGACTCCAAGGTAATGTGGTTTAAAATCCTTCTTTTGGGAGCAAGAAATCATGCCACTTTATACTGAACCATATATGGTAATTACTTCTAAAAAACAACCAGTAAAATGAAGTTTCAAAAGAAGGGCACCTTCGCTTGTTCCAGTCTTTGAAGGACAATTTTGTTCAGCTAATTTAATAGCATGCCGTAGTTGTGCACGTGCAAAGTTGTCGTTTTACTATGTTCTAAACATGCTAATAGGGAACTTAAGAACCACGACGAAGTTCACGACGACGACGTCTGTTGACTGGGAAAGGACTGGAACGAGAACGTCAGTTTCGGCGGGAAAAAGGAAACTTAAGATGCAGTCGATCGGTAGGTCGACGACGACGACACTGAATGTAAACAAACATGTAGAAGTAGTAAAACTGTGATGTTCGTTCGCAACAAAGTTTTTTCGCAAAGGCGTCTTTTAAGACGATGCAAGATCTTATTTTATAAGCCGTACGTCTACTTTCATTGACGATGAAGAATTCTTAGTGTTGTCTGACCTTTTCGAATGGAAAAGTCTCTGCTTTCCGTACGAAGGTTATTCAACTTTCAACCTGAATGACATGACCGAGTCCGATTGTCTGTCAGAGTTTAGATTTGGAAAAAGAGATGCGACAGCTGTTTTCCATATAAAGTTCATTTGCTCTATATTAAAGATATATGATTTGCCTGACCTAAATACGTACACATAAATTTGTCACTTACGAGTTCGCTCGCTCGGCCTGCACAGCTCAGTGTTTTCTTCGTAGTAAACACAATTCATCAGTCAAATTTTCAATCAACATCGCTTGTTAGCAGAAAAAAGAAAGGATACCTGGATTTACGAGGTGAAAAAATACAAAGCCCTTGAAAAATCGCTTGAAAACAGGGAGTTATACCTGCCGAAGCTTGTGGACTGCAGGACGACGTGACTCTACTGTGTTTGGCGTCGTCGACGACATCACGACGACGAAATTTGTTAACCGCGCTTGCGCAGTGCACGGTATCTCACTTCCGGTCGTCGTCGACAAAGTCGTCGTCGTGGTTCTTAAGTTCCCTAATGTTTCAATTTGCCGTTCTCGTTCCCTTCGCCGTCGTATTTGGTAATAAGCTCCCCACAGTTTGAAGGCCCTCCAGCCACCTGTGACTTCATAAGAGTTTTCCAGAGTTTAGGAATCTCTGTGATGTTTCACACTGTTCTCAGGGACATACATGCATTTGTTCCCTGCACCCTTGTTTAACTGATCAAAAGGAAGGAGGGAATGTGAACGGGGTTTCCTCTTATTTATAGTGGAGTCATATTAAATTCTGCACGCAGAGAATACTAGAATGCTGATGGTACTCAGTGAAAATTAACTTTGCAAGACATCAACAGTACACCGAAAGAACACAAAACAGAGCGGGATTGTAGCCGTAGACAGCTGTTTCTCCATTATTGTGGCCGATCAGTATCGCGCAACAAACAGAGAAGCTCTGCTAAAAATTTCTCGCTTACTTTGTTTTAGAGCTCTGACATTTAATAACTCCAACACTCCAGAATTACGCAATATCACGTGTCTCTGAGAGGGCAAGAGTCCAAGTGCCGCGTTGATGCCTCGCAAAGAAAATATAGGATGGACTGAACTACGGCCCCCCAAAAAAGCACGAACATAAACCACAACGGACTGCAAACGACCGCAAACGAATATGCATCATTGCAGTATTCTGCTGGCAGAGTTCAATATGTCTACTTTTTTTTTTTTGCTGATCAGATCTTGATAGATCCTACGTTCTGCAGCATATTCATTTGCGGTCCTTTGCAGTCCTCTTGTGGTTTATGCTGGTCCTTTCCTCTTATTGGCTACTAGTTTGTACTCTGGTGTTCCCCACAACGGTATCTGGGGACCAATCCTGTTTAACATATTAATTAGTGATCTAAACTTTGTTGCTTAAGTCTCCTCTCTGAGAGTCCACGCTGATGTCACTGCTGCCCGAGGAACGATTCTGAACCTGTTATTAATACTTTTTGGAGATTTTTTGGTTTTTATATCGACAATTACTTTAAAAAAAGCCTATCAATTGTCATAAAGAATGCGCCATTGAGGCAATCAACATCAGCAGCTGGTGCCTGCGGAGACGTCTCACTAATGCTGTAAACGTAAATAGTTAAATACCTCTCTAATTGAATTCAAGGTGACAATTGTAACTCTTTGAATTAAAAGGTTCTTTGGAATTGAAAAATTAACAAGCTTTGTAATTTAAGCTTTGCGATTTTGAATTTTCAGTAACTTTGCGTGTAAGTAAAGGTCCTATGAATATTGTAAGTAATTCTTTTTAGTTAAGACAACACATGACATAAAACTGTGTACCCGACAGATTGGCTGCGTTGGTCTTCCAGGAAGGTTTGGGACGCCTTGTGGTAGAGAAATCGCTCGTTCTTGGAGAAGAGAGAGGCTTAGAACTTCTAACTATCAAGTGCTGGACATCGCGCCACGTTAACTCTGGACTAAAAGGCATATAAAAAGGATCTATCTCAGTTTGTATTAAGTTAAGATCCAAGTTTCTCAGTGGTCTCTTGACTTAACTACCCTGCCGTTGGAGTCAAGGACGAAAACGGACAAGCTCTTTTTTCTTCTTTGGAGGCATTCACTTCCAAAATCCAGGGAAAGACAGTGAGCACTACTTGTAGACCACAATTTCTGTCAAATTGCGTGATTAGCTATGACAGGGCTTGTCAACCATTAATTAAAATAATTAGCATAGAAAAAACTTTTGCGCTCCATAAGTCTGCACAGAAAAAACATTTTTTTCTGGAATTTTTTTTAAAAGAAAGCTCTTGATGAGCTCTACTTAATCATCTAAAAATTGAAAATTTCGAAAAATGATGGGTTTTTACCCTGGATGATACCTTAAGTCTCTTCTTAGCTACAGTGTGTGTATCAAAAAAATTAACATTATTTCTTCTAGTACTATTCACGTTCCATAAGGCGAAACGTCGATCGTTAACGAGTTGTTTTGGTACTTTAATGGGCTTTTTATGGGAATATTTATTTATTCATTTGTTTATTTATTATATTTTCAAGTAAAGTGAGTCGTGGGAAAGAGCTTCAGGAGATCTATTACAAATGACTGGTTATTATCGGCGGTCTCCTTATATTCGTTATTTAATAAAAATAGATGGTGGAGATTTATTATTATATTTGTATTATACCCAATTTCTACTCATCCGTATGCTACGGCAACTCACTTTGCCTCCAAAGCTAGTGCAATGATGCCTGACGCCATTGCAGTGGTACCCGAAGTACCCGGGAAGTCCTCCGTACAATCATGGTTTCCTTCAGCAGTTATCTATGGATAAATCACAAATGAAAATTGGAATCAGTCACTTAAAATGAGAACTACAGGAACGGCGTGGGCATCTAAGAACGAGAAAAGTCCCAGTATGTTCTTTTGAGACTACACGTAAATGAAGGCAGTCTAACTAACAACTAGGCCCGAAATTCATAATAGTTAAAAACATGGGAAAAAACCGAAATTACTTTGCTCACAGTCAAACCCCACAAAATAACACTTTCAGAAGTTCTTCTAATTTTAACCGCATTGCGTGACCGTGGTAGTTGAATGTGTAAACATTACAACCTAAACCAGCAAATTAGTGCTAAAAATTTTAAGAAGTGGATTTTCCTTTTGATCTCTAATAATCATGTGAAAAACTACACTAAAACAATTATTCACGATAGGATAAAGCCAGAATTATTCCCCCGTATAGGCCCTATACTCATCGTAATCCCTCTAAAGTGTTTTTGCAACGTATCAGTTTCCCATCGTATAATATTTCTTTGGGCGTTGCGTGGGGGTTATTATTATTATTATTATTATTATTATTATTATTATTATTGTCTCTATTATCACAGTCTTTGCTGGTGTTCTTTTTGTGCATCAGCCGGGCGCAAACCATGCACCTAGAGCGTCAGTCACTCAAGTCAATCATTCTGTTCATACACTGAGCACCTTTCTGAGGATTCGTGCAGATCCCAGC